TGATACAGATTAGCAAACACTTTCAGGGAATGAAAATCCTTTCTGCTGTGAACCAGTTGCCATACACTGCCCATTTCTATCTGTTCGTAAACAGGGAATGTTCTTTAGGATTTAGTGGACTTCTTTGAACCTACAGTCATGACCAAAAATATTGGGACCCCTGCATTTCAGTCAGATAATGCATAAATTCACCCAGAAAATTGTTGCGATTAAAAATGTTTAGGCATTCTCATGTGTATTTCTTTGTATTGATATAACACAAAAAGCCATTTGGCACATTCCACCCAAAAATGGACTGGATAAAAGTATTGGCACCCTCAATCTGGTAGCACACCCCTTGGAAAAAAATAACTGAAATCCATCGCTTTCTGTAACCATCAATGAGTTTCTTACACATCTCTGCTGGAATTTTGGAGTACTCTTCTTTCACCAACTGCTCCAGGTCTCTCAGATTGGAAGGGTTCCTTTTCCCAACTGCTGTTTTGAGATCTCTGAAGGTGCTCCATAGGAATGAGATCTGGACTCATTGCTGGCCGGTTCAGTACTCTCTGGGGCTTTGTCTTAAATCATTTCTGGGTGCTTTTAGACGTTTCCTTTGGGTCAATGTCCTGCTGTAGGCTCTGACAGAGACCCAACTTTCTAACATTGGGCCCTACATTGCACCCCAGAATTCTTTGGTAGTCTTCAGATTTCATAATGCCATGCACACAGTCAAGACATCCAGTGCCTGAAGCAGCAAAGCAACCCCAAAACATAAGTGAACCTCCCCCATGTTTTAGGAACTGTATTCTTTTCTTTAAAGGCCTCATTTCTTTTTCTTAAATAGAATGAGGGTCTTTACCAGAACACTGTAATTTTGTTTCATCTGTCCACAGCATATTCTCCCAAAAGGCTTCTGGCTTCCTCAGGTAAGTTTTGGCAAACTCCAATCTGGCTTTTTTGTGTTTCTGTGTCAACAGTGGAATCCTCCTGGGTCTCCTACTATAGCACCCCTTTTCATTCAGATGGCGACATATAGTGCAAGCTGACAGTTGTACCCTGCACCTGAAGGTCAGCTTGATTTGCCTGGAAGTTGAGCAAGGTTCTTTAGCCACCATTCAATCCTTTGTTGCAATCTTTGTTCAATTTTTCTCCTTCGTTCATATTCAGGGAGATTAACTACATTGCCATGGGCTGTAAACCTCTTGACAATGTTGCGTACAGTGGACACAGGAAATCTCTGGAGATGGACCTTGAGATTGTCCATGCTTTTTCTACAATTTTTGTTCTCAAATACTCAGATGATTCATTGCTGCTCTCTCTTCTCCATTCGACACACAACAGAAAGGTCGAGTCAATTTTTCACCATTTTAACTGGTTGCCGGTGGTTTCTATATTGTTAGCAACTGTTAACCTTTACAGGTGAGCTTAATTACAAATTACATGAGCACCACAAACTTGGAATGCAAGATTTGGCATTTTGTTTCTCCACTTTATGTCATACCAATACAAACCAAAGAAATAAACATGAGAATACCTAAACATTTACAAATGCAACAATTTTCTAGGCAAAGTGGTGCATTATCTGACAGAAATAAAGGGGTGCCAATATTTTTGGCCATGACTGTAAAGATGCATAGCAAGACAGCAAAGTGTCAAGCTGCACAAGACCAAGGCTCTTGCAGGCAGACGCAATAAACTTTTTAATGTTGGCAAGCATGTTGAATGAAAGCTTCAAAATAATCGTAGTATGCGGCAGAGAAATATTCTGCAGCTTGCTCCAATACTGCCTTTAAAGCCTCATTTCCTTCTGCACCTATGTCCTCTAGCACCAGAATATTGGGATACAATTCCTCTTGAGAAATGGGAGAAGAGGCGGGCTGTTTGAGCCCTACGACTGTATTGGGCCATTATCTGTCCAAGGAATTGTGACAGATGCAGAAGATTCTGCTTTTGTCAGGTAGGCCACAGGGTGCATGTCTGATATAGAGATAGAATCAGATGCAGACACTGGTGTAAGAACCCTGCACAGAAGCACTGTGAAAGTTTGAGCTGGTATGTGCCTTCTGCAGAGCAAATGTTAATTTGATATTTTGAATTAGTTCCCTTCGCTCTGGTCTCTGCCACAGCTACAATTGAGGGCATTCTCCTAGGGGGTACTCACAGAGTAGATTGCAGGAAATAGGGTAAGAATATCCAGAAGGATATCAGTTCCCAACAAAGGATGGTTACTGTAGGGACATACACATCGCTCCAAAGTGCCCCGTCCTATTCAAATAGTATTGGAAGAAAGAAACCCTTATGGACTGTATAGGCACTACGACAATAGTTCATAAAAGAATATCACTTTATTAAGCATACATAGACATGTAATGATAAATACAATAATAAAATTATTACAGAGTATAAACTAACCCTGTAACATACAGCAATGTATAATCAAGGCAGATATATGTACTGCTAGTAGATCCCACAGTAAGAAATATACCATAACTCAGCAACAGATTAATGCAGGCCATAGACGGGCCGTTTATCGGCCGAATTGTTGGCCCATAAATGAAAAACTCTTGTTCTTCTTTTCCTTCTTCTATCTGCTGAAACAACTGTTTTTTTTCTACTCCTAAAAAAATGGCCGACCAATTAACCCACTAAGAGTGCAAAAATCGGCCGATCTTTTTTTTTCGGCCGAAATATCGGCCGATTTTCGACCCGTCTATGGCTGGCATAAGAGACGATACTCTGATAGTAGTGACCGCGAGGCATAAGAGAGGATACTCTGATAGTAGTGACCGCGATAGCTCCACATATTTCGCAATAATATCACTTTTTCAGGAGCTGTGGGAAAACTTCTAAAGAAGTATAAATTGGTAAGCAAACATTCTATAAACTGCCAGATGTATATTGTTAGATCCATATATAGTAGGACAAGGCACAATTTTCATACTTTTGGCTCTGTATGCCACCACAATATATTTAAAACGAAACAATCTAAATGAATTTGAAGTGCAGACATTCAGTTTTAATTCAAAAGGGGTTGAACATAAATATCAAGTACAAAATTTTAGGAACTGCAACCATTTTTATACACAGTCCCTCCATTTTCAGGGGTTCAAATGTTATTGGACTAATAAATATAATCATAAATAAAATGTTCATTTTTAATATTTTGTTGAGAATCCTTTACTGGCGATGACTGTTTGAAGTCTGGAACCCACGGACATTACCAAAGACTGGTTTCCTCCTTTCTGATGCTTTGCCAGGCTCTAACCGCAGCGGTCTTCAGTTGTTCTTTGTTTGAGGGTCTTTCTGCCTTTAATTTTGACTTCAGAAAGTGAAATGCATGCTCAATTGGGTTGAGATCAAGTGATTGACTCGGCCATTATAGAATATTCCACTTATATTCCTTCAAAAGCTCCTGGGTTGCTTTTGCAGTGTGTTTTGGATCATTGTCCATCTGTACTGTGAAGAGTCGTCCAATCAACTTTGCTGCATTTGGCTGAAAGTATATCTCTAAACACTGTAGAATTCATCCAGCTGCTTCTGCCACATCAATAAACACCAATGACACAGTGCCACTGGAAGCCATGCATGCCCATGCCATCACACTGGCTCCATCATGTTTTACCGATGATGTTGTGTGCTTTGGATCACGAGCTGTTCCAAGCTTTCTTCCCACTTTTTTCTTCCGTCATTCTGGTACAGATTAATCTTAAATTTCTTCCGTCCAAAGAATGCTTTTCCAGAACTGGTCTGGCTTTTTTAGCAGTCTAATCTGGCTTTTCTATTCTTCAGGCTTATGAATGGTTTGCACCTTGTGGTGAACCCTCTCTGTATTTGCTCTTGTGGAGTCTTCTCAATTGTATAATGACAATATTCCCCTTTGATGGAGTGTCCTAAACTTGTCTGGATGTTGTGAATGGGTTTTTCTTTATCATAGATCTTGTGATCATCCACCACTGTTGTCTTCCGTGGACGTCCATGCCTTTTTATGTTGCTGAGCTCACCAGTGCGTTCTTCTTTCATCAGAATGTACCAAACTGTTGATTTGGCCACTCCTAATGTTGCTATCTCTCTGATGGATTTACAAAAATACACTCCTGCCCCACAGAATGTCTACAGCCACAGGTATACAATGCTGCTGTGCCCTAGTGTAAACACCAAATCAAGAAAAAAACAAAAATAAACAGTGCAAATAATACCTAAACCAATTCAATATTCCAAACTGGATACATAAATGTGCAAAAAAAATACGTATATATAAGTGTGACACACTCAAATCAGAAAAATAAATACCGTATTTTCCGGCGTATAAGACGGCTTTTCAACCCCTGAAAATCTTCTGAAAAGTCGGGGGTCGTCTTATACGCCGGTGCGAGCCGGTGTCAGGGCGACACTTTTTCGAGGGGCGGCGTGGCGCCGCCCCCCTCCTCCTCCAACGGACACTAAGTACAGGGGTGGGCAGAGGGCTGCTGTACCTTACCTGGCTCCGGTCCCACGACGATCCGGTCCAGGAAGCGCGGCTGCTCCTTCGTTCAGTTCGGCCGCTCGATGGTCACGCGGCCCGCTCGGCTCCGCCTCCTCACCGGTGATTGGGCGCCAGCACTGGAAAGGCACACAGGCGACCAATCACCGGCGAGGAGGCGGAGCTGAGCGGCCCGTGAAAATCGAGCTGCCGAACTGGAAGAAGGAGCAGCCGCTCCTCTCCCCCACTGACACCAACGATGAGACACTGTTCCTCCCCCACTGACACCAACGATGAGGCACTGTTCTCCCAACTGATACCAATGATGGGGCACTATTCCTCCTCCCCACTGATACCAATGATGGGGCACTATTCTCTCCACTGATACCAATGATGGGGCACTATTCCTCCCCCACTGACACCAATGATGGGGCACTATTCCTCCCACTGACACCAACGATGGGGCACTATTCCTCCCACTGATACAAACGATGGGGCACTACTTCTCCTCCCCACTGACACCAATGATGGGGCACTATTCCTCCTTCCCACTGACACCAATGATGGGGCACTATTCTACCCACTGATACCAATGATGGGGCGCAATTCCTCCCACTGACACCAATGATGGGGCGCAATTCCTCCCACTGACACCAACGATGGGGCGCAATTCCTGCCACTGACACCAACGATGGGGCGCTATTCCTCCCATTGACACCAACGATGGGGTGCTATTCCTCCCACTGACACCAATGATGGGACACTATTCCTCCCACTGACTAATGATGGGGCACTATTCCTCCCACTGACTAATGATGGGGCACTATTCCTTACACACTGACACTAATGATGGGGCACCATCATTGGTGTCAGTGGGAGGAATAGTGTCCCATCATTGGTATCAGTGGGAGGAATAGTGCCCCATCATTGGTGTCAGTGGATGAAATAGTGCCCCATCATTGGTGTCAGTGGGAGGAGTAGTGCCTCATCATTGGTGTCAGTGGGAGGAATAGCACCCCATCATTGGAATACCATACTGAAATAGCATACCATATTGAAAATACGGTAAATACAAAAAAATAATAAATGAATAAATGTGCCCAAAACAACTCAATTCATGAAAAAAATAAAATATATAAATTGTATATAAAAATAAGTCCAAAATCCTTTTTCCCAGCCTTCAAAGTGCTTAGACAAAAGAAATGATCTTCTGTAAATGTGTGCTTCCACCAGTGCAAACCAACATAAACCGCACTCACCAGATTACTGGTGAATAATAGACCTTTAGGATTTTCAGGGATCCTACACCCCCCTCTATAGCCTCCAGACCTCCATTCCACCATAGAGAGCTAGCGTAGTCCTTCCACTCCCTACTAGATCAGGACCTCCAAACCAGCTCCACTGACAATGCAGAGGCTGCTCCTGGCTTTTTCTGGAAAGAGCTGCAGCTGCTGTGTTTTGTATGGAGTGTGTCCTGCCCCCTGTGTGCACAGGCTCCAGGGGCAGGAGGGGGCAAGCAGAGGACAGGGAAACTGAGGATGGTGCTGGGGGCAGGGAAGCTGAGGATGGTGCTGGGGCAACGAGAAGTGGAGAGCACGCTGCTCCTTCCTCTGTCCCCAGCACCATCCTCAGCTTCCCTGTCCTCTGCCTGCCCCTGGAGCCTGTGCACACAGGGGGCAGGACACACTCCATACAAAACACAGCAGCTGCAGCTCTTTCAAGAAAAAGCCAGGAGCAGCCTCTGCATTGTCAGTGGAGCTGGTTTGAAGGTCCTGATCTAGTAGGGAGTGGAAGGACTACGCTAGCTCTCTATGGTGGAATGGAGGTCTGGAGGCTATAGAGGGGGTGTAGGATCCCTGAAAATCCTAAAGGCCTATTATTCACCAGTATCTGGTGAGTGCAGTTTATGTTGGTTTGCACTGGTGGAAGGTGGAAGTACACATTTACAGAAGATCATTTCTTTTGTCTAAGCACTTTGAAGGCTGGGAAAAAGGATTTTGGACTTATTTTTATATACAATTTATATATTTTATTTTTTTCATGAGTTGTTTTGGGCACATTTATTCATTTATTAATTTTTTATTATTTATTTTTCTGATTTTGAGTGTGTCACACTTATATATACATTTGTTTTGCACATTTATGTATCCAGTTTGGAATACTGAATTGGTTTAGGTATTATTTGCGCTGTTTATTTTTTTCTTTGATGGATGTTTCGTTTTTGAAGCCTTACAATGGCCTGTTTCACTTGCATGGACAGCTTCTTTGAACGCATGATGTCGGTTCACAGTAATAGATTCCAAATGCAAATACCACACTTAGAATCAACTCCAAACCTTTTACCTGCTTAACTGAAGAAATAACGGAGTAGCCCACACTTGAAACAGCTTTTGATTCAATTGTCCAATTACTTTTGATCCTTTTATAAAGGGGGATGGCTACTCTTAAGAGCTGTAATTCCTAAACCCTTCCTCCAATTTGGATGTACATACCCTCCAATTAAACCTGAGAGTGTGCACTTTCAGCCCATATGCATTATATAACTATAGCTAATATTTTAGTAAATACCTCAAAAAAACTAAAATTGCGCCTGTGTACAAATATATATGAACCTAACTGTATATAAGACCAGCTGGACAGCTAATTAAAAGTACATACATCTGCACGATAGCCAGTGGAAAGAAGCGTCCAGCCACACCATGAGGGGATCCCCACGAAGCTGGAGGGGCAAGTTACATACCCCGCAACAATACCTAACATATAGTAAGTGTATAATGGTTGAAAACATTGTAGTGGGGCCCTCCTCAGTGATTACTACCACCATAGTTGTAGAAATCTGACTAACCTCCACACTTATTGAAACGTAGTGGGGTCAGTAATTCTGGTCCAAATACGACACACATACAGGTGAAACTCGAAAAATTAGAATATCGTGCAAAAGTTCATTTATTTCAGTAATGCAACTTAAAAGGTGAACTAATATATGAGATAGACGCATTACATGCAAAGCAAGATAATTCAAGCTGTGATTTGTCATAATTGTGATGGTTATGGCTTACAGCTCATGAAAACCCCAAATCCACAATCCAGAATATTACATGCAATCAATAAAACAAGGATTGTACATAGAACACTATCGGACCTCTGAAAAGTATAAGCATGCATATGTACTAAGTACTTGGTTTGGGCCCCTTTTGCAGCAATTACTGCCTCAATGCGGCGTGGCATGGAAGCTATCAGCCTGTGGTACTGCTAAGGTGTTATGGAAGACCAGGATGCTTCAATAGCGGCCTTCAGCTCTTCTGCATTGTTCGGTCTCATGTCTCTCATCTTTCTCTTGGCAATGCCCCATAGATTCTCTATGGGGTTCAGGTCAGGCGAGTTTGCTGGCCAATCAAGCACAGTAATCCCACGGCCATTGAACCAGGTTTTGGTGCTTTTGACAGTGTGGGCAGGTGCCAAGTCCTGCTGGAAAATGAAGTTAGCATCCCCATAAAGCTCGTCTGTGGAAAGAAGTATGAAGTGCTCCAAAATCTCCTGGTAGACGGCTGCGTTGACCCTGGACTTAATGACCAGCAGATGACATGGCTCCCCAAATCAACACAGACTGGAGAAACTTCACACTGGACTTCAAGCATCTTGCAGTGTGTGCCTCTCCATTCTTCCTCCATACTCTGGGTCCTTGGTTTCTTCCTCCATACTCTGGGACTTTGGACCACTGAGCAACAGACCAGGTCTGTTTTTCTTTAGCCCAGGTAAGACGCTTCTGACGTTGTTTGTTGTTCAGGAGCAGCTTGACAAGAGGAATACGACATTTGAAGCCCATGTCCAGGATCCATCTGTATGTGGTGGCTCTTGATGCACTGACTCCAGCCTCAGTCCACTCCTTGTGAAAGTCCCCAACACTTTTGAATGGCCTTTTCCTGACAATCCTCTCCAGGTTGCGGTCATCCCTGCTGCTTGTGCACCTTTTTCTTCCACACTTTTCCCTTCCACATAACTTTCTATTAATGTGCTTTGATACAGCACTTTGGTAACATCCAACTTCTTTTGCAATTATTGTACCTTTTGAGGCTTTCCCTTATGGAGGGTGTCAAAGATGGTTTTCTGCACAACTGTCAGGTCAGCAGTCTTTTCCATGATTGTGATTCCTACTGAACCAGACTGAGAGACCATTTAAAGGCTCAGGAACCATTTGCAGGTATTATGGCTTAATTAGCTGATTAGAGTGGGACACTTTGAGCCTAGAATATTTCACCTTTACACAATATTCTAATTTTCTGAGATTGTGGATTTGGGGGTTTTCATGAGCTGTAAGCCATAATCATCACAATTCTAATATTTTTGGCTCTATACACCACAATGGATTTGAAATGAAATGAACAAGATGTGCTTTAACTGCAGACTGTCAGCTTTAATTTGAGGGTATTAACATCCAAATCAGGTGAACGGTGTAGGAATTACAATAGTTTGCATATGTGCCTCCCACTTGTTAAGGGACCAAAAGTAATGGGACAGAATAATAATCATAAATCAAACTTTCACTTTTTAATACTTGGTTGCAAATCCTTTGCAGTCAATTACAGCCTGAAGTCTGGAACGCATAGACATCACCAGACGCTGGGTTTCATCCCTGGTGATGCTCTGCCAGGCCTCTACTGCAACGGTCTTCAGTTCCTGCTTGTTCTTGGGGCATTTTCCCTTCAGTTTTGTCTTCAGAAAGTGAAATGCATGCTAAATCGGATTCAGGTCAGGTGATTGACTTGGCCATTGCATAACATTCCACTTCTTTCCCTTAAAAACCTATTTGGTTGCTTTTGCAGTATGCTTTGGGTCATTGTCCATCTGCACTGTGAAGCGGCGTCCAATGAGTTCTGAAGCATTTGGCTGAATATGAGCAGATAATATTGCCCAAAATACTTCAAATTCATCCTGCTGCTTTTGTCAGCAGGCACATCATTAATAAATACAAGAGAACCAGTTCCATTGGCGGCCATACATGCCCACGCCATGACACTACCACCACCATGCTTCACTGATGAGGTGGTATGCTTAGGATCATGAGCAGTTCCTTTCCTTCTCCATACTCTTCTCTTCCCATCACTCTGGTACAAGTTGATCTTGGTCTCATCTGTCCATAGGATGTTGTTCCAGAACTGTGAAGGTTTTTTTAGATGTCATTTGGCAAACTCTAATCTGGCCTTCCTGTTTTTGAGGCTCACCAATGGTTTAGATCTTGTGGTGAACCCTCTGTATTCACTCTGGTGAAGTCTTCTCTTGATTGTTGACTTTGACACACCTACCTCCTGGAAGTGTTCTTGATCTGGGCAACTGTTGTGAAGGGTGTTTTCTTCACCAGGGAAAGAATTCTTTGGTCATCCACCACAGTGGTCTTCTGGGTCTTTTGGTGTTGCTGAGCTCACCGCTGCGTTCCTTCTTTTTAAGAATGTTCCAAACAGTTGTTTTGGCCACGCCTAATGTTTTTGCTATCTCTCTGATGGGTTTGTTTTGTTTTTTCAGGCTAATGATGGCTTGCTTCACTGATAGTGACAGCTCTTTGGATCTCATCTTGAGAGTTGACAGCAACAGATTCCAAATGCAAATAGCACACTTGAAATGAACTCTGGACATTTTATCTGCTCATTGTAATTGGGATGAGGGAATAACACACACCTGACCATAGAACAGCTGAGAAGCCAATTGTCCCATTACGTTTGGTCCCTTAACAAGTGGGAGGCACATACGCAAACTGTTGTAATTCCTACACCGTTCACCTGATTTGGATGTAAATACCCTCAAATTAAAGCTGACAGTCTGCAGTTAAAGCACATCTGGTTTGTTTCATTTCAAATCCACTGTGGTGGTGTATAGAGCCAAAAATGTTAGAATTGTGTCAATGTCCCAATATTTATGGACCTGACTGTAAATGAACTTTTACACAATATTCTAATTTTTCAAGTTTCACCTATATATAGACTAATAAAAAGCCAGGGTTGTGTATAAGGGGGTCTCTACATGGAATACAAAAGGGGGGAGAATAATTACAGTATTAGGTTTATAGTGCAAACTAGCCCCATTTGCACCCCCCAAAAACTGGGGTGCTAATTGGAAAGATAACCAATAGCGTAAACCAGGCATGTCCAAAGTCCGGCCCGGGGGGTCGGTTTAATACGGCCCTCCCTGCTCTGTGTAATGTGGCCCTCCCTTCTATGGCAGTCTTCTGCTTGAGAGCAGTGCGCATGCCTGACTGCGGCGCGTTCTCCCTGGTCTGTGTAAATGCGGCTGTCGCACGGCCCTCCCTTCTGTGGCAGACAGTCTTCTGCTTGAGAGCAGTGCGCATGTGTGACTGCGCCGCGCTGGGAGCGACAGAGGGCGGTGACGTCAGGGCCGGGCTTCCAGCGTGAAGTGTGTTTCTCTATCCCTCCCAGCTGCCGAGCAGAGACTTCAGCTCCAGCTACCTTTTTCACCCTTCACATTAGTGCAGGTAAGGTAATTTATTTGCATTTAATTGTAATGGTTCAAAGAATGTTCGGAAAAATGTTCAGCCCTCCACCATGTTCACTTCATCCAATCTGGCCCTCTTTGAAAAAAGTTTGGACACCCCTGGCGTAAACCGTGCAAAGAAAAAGAACGATCGAGCCTTGCTTACATATAATGGATCAATGATTCTAGGTGAGCTCCCTAAAAATGGCAGTAAGCTATTATTAGGATAGCCTGTTGATTTAGATTGTGGTTCTACCGGGCAGGATAATTTCTCCAGCCAATACATGTCAATCTGTTAAAGGACACATGTATATATGACCCCATGGGTACATCCTAATAGTAGATATTAAATCCCAGCATTCATTATGGCAAATATTTGTTCTATTGTACCTGTTTAGAGATGTAACAGTACTTAGACTGCAGGAGATATCAAGACTGCACCAGAGTATAGAACACCACCACTATTATACAAAGGGTCCCAAGAACCGCACAGCATCAGGAGCCGCCACCCATCCTCCCCATTTAAAAGATCCCAACACAAGCCATCAGAAGGCAGCACGTCACTGTGCCTGGCCACGCATGCGCACAGTACACTCACATCTCACCATTAACATGGCGGAGGGCACGCATACAGGCGACACCCTGCAGCTATTGACGACCACCACCGCAATTAGCATAGAGCACCACAGCCAGGACCCCTGTCCAGCATAGTGGGGACTCTGGTTGTAGCGCCACCAATCATAGGGACCATATGTACCCCTCCGCCCCCCCCAAAAGTAGCCCCACCAATCATAGGGACCATATGTACCCCCCCCCCCCCCCCCCCCCCCAAAAGTAGCCCCCACATAGATGTAGGTCATATTGAGCAGCCTTAATTATAAACAAAATGTATTCCAAAATCAATATGACAGTTCAAGAAAATGTTTCTTCATGGGGCAGCGTATAGAATGTTTGCTTACCATTTTATGTTTCTTTATATAGACATCTTCCCACTGCTCCTGCAGAAGCAATATTATCACAAAACATGTTGAGCTATTGCATTCACTACTATCAGAGTGTCCTCTCAAACACTTGCCGAGTTATGGTATATTTCTTACTGTGGGATCTACTAACAGTACATATATCTACACTGATTATACATTGCTGCATATTACAGGGTTAGTTTATACTCTAAAAATTTTATAATTGTATGTATCATTTCATGTCTATGCATGCTTAAGTGATATTCTTTTATGAACTGTTGTCAGTGTTTATAAAGTCCATAGGGTTTCTCTTTCTTCTAAGCATATCCAGAAGACATAGCAAGTGTAGACCATCCTATGACAAACCCTTATAGTGAAAGGAAGTGCCCAAATTCCTTAAAGGTTCTAGGCTAAAAGGGTTGTTTTAGTTCAGTCTTTGCCCACCATGGTGGGCATAAACCAGAAGGGGTCTTCGGGGACTGGGTTCCATAGCAATTGACTACGGCCCTGGACCTGTATAGCACCCTACACCTGACCTGACCATGTCAAGGTGAATGACCATGCAGGATTCAGTGCCCGAAGCCAACACTACAGGCTGTTACCACAAGATAGAATAAATAAAACTAGTGAAGTTGATTTCTCAGCAAGGAGAAGAGGTCCATCACCTTCAGTACTAGCATAAAAGCGGAGGCAGCCCAGGGAGACAGGTCCTCAAAAGATTGTCAGTGCCCACTCACCTGATGATACATGCCTATAATGGTGTACAAGTTTGTTGCCTGTGTCATGTTATATTAAGATATCAAGTGTTTTTTTTTTTCCTGCTAGCTAGTGAGGAACCTTCTCAGTCTGCATCTACATCCTGCGGAGCAGGCACTTTTTTTGACACGGGTTCCACAGTCCACCACTTTAACTAAAACATTTCCATGTGTACAGCCAGGAGACCCCTGCCAAAAGGTGAGATGGGAAACCTCCAGCAGAATGCCAAAGCAATAGCATAAGGAAACTAGCATTTGCTTTGTTGCATGACCAGCAATAGGGGCGTTAGTCCTTTTCAATTCTCAAACTACCTACCTAGGGGGGAGGGGGGAGAGGGAGAATCCACACACATTAATGACCTAGAGCCTGCAACACAAAAGTAGGAATTGGTGACTGTCATTTTGACCTTCAGAACATGCTATCTGCTAGACTATCATGCTGAACACCTCTGGTTTAATAAAACTGAATTACTACCAAAGTATAAATACTAGAATGGGCAAGAAAGTTCCCAGACTTTCCTTACATGTGTCAGATCACCAACAAGTATTGAAACTGGAGAGCATGCATAAGGAGGAAAAAAAAAAAAAAAAAAAAAAAAAGGCTGTCAGTAATAACTTCCTCAGTTTAAGAATAATTTTTGCAGATTCATATTAATAAAGTGCAGGTCCTAATCGCATTAGTGGCAGTAACACAAAACAGTCTGATTTTAAGAGAAAATTCCAGCAAGGTGAATATCTGGCATGTAAAAGATACCTGCAATTACCTTCAAAGTACCTTGGAAGCCCTAAAAGCACAGGTTCTCAATTATACATAACTGCAGCTCCAAAGCTATGGTTTGCCACCTCATTAACTGAGGTCATGCATTAGACTGAGGAACCAATAATGCAGTCCATAAGGAAGACAAAACACTGAACTTGCAGGCTGAAGAACTTTGTTTGGGAACCACCGTGCTGTAAGCATTGTAGTTGTCTAGTTATGCAGAGACACTTGGCCTAATTTTAAATGAGAAGTTCACCCTTGGGAACACGTTACATGTACCAACAGGTTTTAGGTTGGAACATATAACCTGTTCCCGATCCTGCAGCCACCGCCTGCTGATCATAGTCCAGTCACCCAAAGGCCTGAAAAATAATGAACTGGCCCTTTTTTTTTTTTTTGCAAGTCTGATGTCACCTGCTGAGAAACCCAAACATGAAAGTGCCAACTTTTTATCCCAGCTAGCACTTAATGTTTTTAAAAAAGGTAGCTCAAATTTACATTAATTCAAATAAACAGTGGTCACTAACATAAGACCATACAAAACAGGCAGCCTGGTACTGGACTAGAAGAAATTAATGGAAACAGACTTTAGGCAAACTCCCCTTCCTCCTCCAGCTTTATTGATAGTTTAAAATTACATTTCTATTTTCCAGGACTTCAGTTTCTTTTACCATCTGACTTTAAAAACTGATTACACGCAAATGAAACTCAAACAGTTGTCTAAAGTGATATAGTATACAAAAAATAACATCTTGATTTCTGTGAAAACATTTCTCTGCAGCTCCTGAATAGCTTACTTTGCTTTTTTCATTTATGCATGTTCTGGGTTTTTATTTTCATTACTTCCATGAAAAAGGAACAAAAAAAAAATTCCAGGTCTTTCTGTCACCTGTATCTCCGACACAATCTCAATGGCCACTTTCACCGGAATTGTAGACTTGGCCACTGTGACAGACATTGACACGATACTCTGCCCTAGCCAGATACAGATGTAGTTGATGTTAACAGCTGAGGTCAGACAACAAGACCACCACAAAATTAAATATTTGCAGAAGTTTTCACAAACTCTCCCAGTAGCGGATCGCCTTGCGCAGGTGCTACCATTAACCTGAGAAGGGTCTACTAGTCTGACTCAACTCTTCCCGATTATTTAATCCCATCTCACCAGTGGCACGGAAAGGGGGTTCTTTAACAAAGCATTATACATAACACCTCTACCAAACTAAACATAAACATTTTTTGTAGTTAAATGCAGGAAGTCGTTTTTTGTTTCCACCCTTTCCTCCTTTTGCACGTCAAGTAAAGCTCACTGGCCTGGGACTAGCTCTATCTGCCAACCTTTGGCCAGTGAAGAGGATTCAGAGAAAATAATACAACCATCAATCAGAAAAAGGAGGGGCGACAAAGGAAATTTAAGCTGTAGCTTCAATCGTGCATTCCCGTGCAAGGTGCCCCGACTCCCCGCAGCGATAACAGTTGACTTCACTGGTCTTGCTGCAGTTGATGGCTACATGGCCAGTTTCGCCACACCTGAAACAATTAATATACAGTTATTTACATGGAAAAGAAACCATTCAGGTTTGAATATTGGATGCATGGGTTCTATTCATCACCTGTAGCATTTGACTTTGGTGCAGTCTTTCTGGATATGACCAAACTCTCCACAAGAATAACATTTCTGCTCATCAGCATGGTCACAGTCACGGGCAAGGTGGCCTGGTTTGCCACAGTTGTAGCAGCACTGCTCCCTCTCCTTTCTTGGCTCCTTGCAGTCCTTTGCAATATGGCCACCTCTGCCGCAGTTATAGCAAGCTGAAAACACAAGGTTACAAGTGTTATCAACAAAACCGTTTAAACATCTCTTTAGTGCTTTGATTCTAGGGATGTTAAAGTGTCACTAAGGTTACTTTAACACTGCAGCAAAATGAATATGTAGTGCTACTTGGATGCAATTTTAGTAAGGTAGGTGTGTGTGTACACACATTCTATAGGACCAAAAAATAGCACTGGAATCGCACCAAAGTAGTCCAAAAATTGCTCCATGCTGAAGTAGCATCGATATGAAAGGATAACCAGTGAACATGTTGTTTCCCTGGTCATGCAATGTTGTTCCACTTAAGTTGCATCTGATGTTGCACGAATGTGAACCAGGCCTAAAGGCAAAAAAACATTTCCTTTTGGCTAGAGCAAGGGTTGGTTATAACCCCATCAGTTTATTGGCCATGGGGAGATTTTCCTTCACTTCCTGTTCCATAACCAAAACAGGAACTGAAAGTTCTTCAAAGTGAGGGAATCTTGGGGTATCACCAGAAGCAGTGTCCCCATTGGAAAATTTCCCTTCTATTCCTACTCTGATGTCAACCTAAAAATTGTGATTCTTTGACTGTCACTGATCACAGAAATCCGGACAGAAAACTGCCTGTCATGGTTTCAATAATTTCCCCATCACTGATCTAGTACAAGCAGAATAGAACGCTAGAATGAAGTCGGGACACCTAATCTGCATGCAGGTTATGGAACAGTGACTGAGAAACTACTGAAGCAGCACAAAAACCAGGACACTAGCTTTTTCAGAAATGGCAGCCCCAAACTTACTCAGTGCATCCTTCCTTTGGTGTGGTTACACAAGTAGGGCTCCAACCCTCCTCGTCTTATATTCATACGTCCCTGATCTGGCAAGATATTGGCTGTGCACCTTTTTTAGTGCCGACTGTGAAGCATACTGGCCTGACTAGAGGGATTCTGGTAAGTGGCTATGCAGCACTAAAGAGCTACTCACCGAATATCTGGCTGAATTTGGAACGGCTAGTATAAAAAAGGAGGCTGGAGGCAGTATAGAAGGTGTGACTGCACTACTTTATAGCTAAACTACAAACAGCGCACCAAAGAACACACATGGATCTTTTCAATTTCCTATACCTGGAGTTTAGCCTTAAAAATGCACAACCACAAAATGCCATGAATAAAATCTGACCTTACTTCACACTACAGACCTATGGAACACAAAACTTCAATGCATTTTTCTTTCACTGCCTGTATTCACTATATAACATCTATTGTAAACAATGCATATACATTTAAAGCATGTAATGGTCAGCTAAACCCAAACTTAGAACAAGATCTTTTTACATGTCTTATTCTTATGGCCAAAAAAGGACTCTGGTTCAGATATTTTTTATTTTCACATCACATAAAAAATATAACAGACTCATAAGCAGCAGTACATTTAATTTTTGTTTTTGGGGACAGATACACTAAGTGAATCTGGACCCCAAAAAAAGGAAGATGTGATGTTAATTGTGCCTAAGCAGTACCCGAAGGATTTCCCTTCGATTTGAATGCCTTCTGAAAAATAGCAGTGCTCTTCTTGGTATGTGAATGTGCCTAGGCAATTCTGTACCCACAGTCTCAGCTTTATAATGCAATATCAATCAAGGCAATGCTGCCTCTGAATGCAAGACTCAAGGAGACTTGGCAAAGATTGGTGATCACTACGGTGTTGCTTAACCTCTTGGCGCCGGCTGAACGCAAATGTGCAGCCTCCCAGTGTCTGGGCCTAGACACCAAGCGTCCGCACATCTGCAATCTATTACAAAGAAAACCCCCCAAAAAAAACACGTGCTGAGAGCGAGCACCCAGCACACACATTCGGTACTCACGGAACGGTCCCGATCTTTCGATCGGGACCTTTCCCGATCATGTGACCGCGAATCATGGCAGTCGCATGACCCTAAAACCCCGCCTCCTGGAACCCTTAAAGGGCTGGGAGGCGCCAGCGCTAAGGGGTTAATGTTCTTTTGCTGGAGGCTCTGGCACAAAAAAAAAAAAAAAAAAAAAAAAAAAAAGCAAATCCCTGCCTGTACAAACCGTGGCTACATCCATAAAGTTACATGATGTACAACAAGGCATGGCAAGTCCATAAGAGGAAAGATCAGCTGCAGGGAGGCAACATGTAGTGCTGGTGACTTGTCCTTTTCCCTTCTGACTGCCACTTTTGATTGTCATGTAGTTGCCACTAATCACACTTCCCATGTTACACTGAAAAGCTAAAAATCAAAGTCACACGGGATTAAAGTGACCAAGAAAAGTACTTGGGCTTGTGACTAGATATTTTTATACGGTCACAAAAAAAAAAAAAAAAACAAAACAAAAAACTTTGTTTTACATAAACATCCTTTCATTTCCAAGCTGAAGATGCATTACAGCAAAATTAAGAACTCAAAAAGGACAATGTCTAGAAAGGACAAGGTATTTGTTTCATCTATTTCTGGCAAGGACTGCCGCCTGACAGACCATTAACCAACCACTATTTATAAGTTGCAATATCACTTATCAGTAAGGCTAAAGTTGGTGCCATACTAAAAGTAAAAAAAAAACAAAAACAAAAAAAAAAAAAAAAAAAAAAAAACACAACACAAACACACCCATATACTGCTACTTTAAGTGTCCAGCTTTGGTTGTGTTGCACGGAGCAGGAACAGACTTTGTGGAAACCATACTGCAGCTCCACTACCCTAGACGGGCAGATTTACTAAAACTGGAGCGTGCACTATCAGGTACAGCCATGCACAGAAACCAACCGGCTCACAGATTTTTTTTTTTGGTCAAAACTTATTTAACCACTTGCCTACCAGGCACTTATACCCCCTTCCTTACCAGGCCAATTTTCAGCTTTCAGCGCTGCCGCACTTTGATTGACAATTGCGCGGTCATGCAACATTGTACCCATATGAAATTTTGATAATTTTTTCTCACAAATAGAGCTTTCTTTTGGTGGTATTTAATCGCCACTGGGCGCTTTACTTTTTGCGCTATAAATTAAAAAAAGTGCAAAAAATTTGAAAAAAAAAAAAAGTTTGTTTCTTTTATAAAATTTTTCAAACAGGTATTTTTTCTCCTTCACTGATTTGCGTTGATGAGGCGGCACTGATAGGCAGCACTAAAGGGCACTGATAGGCAGCACTAATGAGGTGGCACGGATAGGCGGCACTGATAGACAGCACTAATTAGGGGTCACGGATAGGCGGCACTGATATGCAGCACTGATAGGCGGCACTGATAGGTGACACTGATGATGGGTACTGATAGACGGCACTGACTGGCATCACTTCTGGGCACTGACTGGCGGCACTGACTGGCACAACCCCTGGGCACTGACTGGCAGCACTGGTGGGTGGCACTGGTGGACAGCACTGGTGGGTGGGCACAGGTGGGTGGCGCTGGTGGGCACAGGTGGGTGGGCACAGGTGGGGGCACTGCTGCTGGGCACAGGTGGGTGGGCACAGGTGGGGGCACTGCTGGGCACAGGTGGGGGCACTGCTGGGCACAGGTGGGGGCACTGCTGGGCACAGGTGGGGGCACTGCTGGGCACAGGTGGGGGCACTGCTGGGCACAGGTGGGGGCACTGCTGGGAATGGAATGGGCGGGGCTAGTGGGCGCACAGCTGATCGGAACTTGCGGGGGTCACTGCTGGGCACCGATCATCAGGGCACTGATCATCAGTGCCCTGATGATCGGTGCCGATCCCCGCTCTGACAACTGCCGGTTCTCGGCAGTACTTTCCTCACGATCTGACAGCGTGAGGAAAGTGCAGCCGAGTACCGGCACTTGCATTTTCCTGTGATCAGCGTGTCATTGGACACCGCTGATCACGTGGTAAAAGGCCGGTGGGATCGGCCTTTCACCACATCTCGTGATCAGCTGTGTCCGTAGGACACAGCGATCACGGAGATCGCCGGGTGCGCGCCCCCTGGGGCGCGCAGGAGAGCGCGTTCTGGGAGGACGTCATATGACGTCCACTCAGAACTGGCCGGCCGCGGTGAAGCCGTCATTCGGCTATACGCGGTCGGCAAGTGGTTAAACAAGCTAAACATAGAACCCAATTGGCTACCAAGCACAGCTGCTCCAGAGTTTGCACTCTAGTTTAGTAAATCAGCCCTATAAGGTCCATCAACAAAGTCATCTCTCGAAGCCCTTCCACATCCAGCACTTCTGAGTACAACACATAATGTACCCTTTAGGAAGGCGACCAAGGACAAACTAAAAAGGGCTGTCTTTCCTGAGAGAAAACAAGGTGGCAGCCTTTGCGGACTAGCAAATGCTAGTTGCATGGCTGTCAAGAGGACCATCCCTCTAGCTCCAGTCACTTGAATCATTTAGAAGTGAACCGTATGCTTTGGTTATCCCAGGGCTCTTTTCATGTGAAAAAATGCACATTATATATACCCATTACGGCAGAATGTTCTCCCAAAGTGCTCTTAGAGCACTTCAGATCTCCATCGACATGTCCCAATCTTCTGGATCCAGATAAAGCAAACACTATTAAAAACCATTCTCTTCCCCTCCTACTAAACATCCTACATACCCTGTAAAAAAAAGGGGGCCGTGTACGTACCCATTTATCATGTGCTCAGATCAGATCACATGATTCTGCAGCTCCAGCTTGCCTGTGTCAGTGAGAGGTTGCTGTAGAGGAGTGGGCAGAGCGCAAACAGTGGCCGGACCATAGCAGCCCATTGGTGAGAGCTCCAGTAATTCAACTGTTATTGAGTGCTCTTACACAGGATCAAGAGACTGGATTAAAAAGAAGTACTTTTAAATTTCTAGATACAGGGTATGCCAGAACTCCTGGCCCCTCCCCACTACCGAGTGACCACATAGCAAGCTGCTTGCTATGGGGTGTGTGCATGCTCGCCCCAGAGTTGGCTGTGTCTCACAGTACCCGGCTCACCCTGCCCTCATCACTGGCTGTGATTGACAGGAGCCAATGGCTCCCGCTGCCATCTCTGTCTAATGAGAGAGCAAGCTGCGAGAGCTGCTGCTGTCCTGCACATCGCTTTATTGATATCATGCTCAAAGGGAGGCGGGCTGCATGCCAAAGATTTTTTTTTTTTAATGCATAAAATGCATTAAGATAAAAAAAAAAAAAAAAAACTTCTGCATTTAGAACCACTTTAATTGCAGAAGTCTCTTCTGCAATAAAACAAAAAAACATCTGGTAGCAATTCTTTAGTTCCATGTCAATTGTCCAGGAGCGGTCATTTGACACATTTGCACACAAACACGATATAGACTCCTGTCTATGCACCACTTTTAGAAAAAAACCATGGAGAGAAAATATAGCAGTTTCTCAGTCGAACTATTCATGTGGCTTATATCTGCCTGTGAATTTTAGGTCATGTGCAGTAGTTAATTCCATTCTGTTATACAGAAATTAAACTGCTTTGATACCCAATCTGCTGCAGATACTTTTTGCGTACCATTTGGCTTCTCAATTACAACACTTATTGCTAGAATAATGTTGATCGGGATGATCCTATCAAACATAAAATCCTTTTCGCAATTTTTGGAAGTCACACCAGTGGAATTGCTGGTCTCGAGCAGTTTGTCAAAACGCAGAGTCCCTTCATTTTGTTTTATCAATTGTGGGAATTTGTTAGGGTTGTTTCTTCACAGGTAGAGTATATGCAGTACATGCCTCTCTGCAATACACAAACTATCTGAACTTGACAAAAATTTAGGGGTTTTGATTGGAAACAAGTGGGTATTTCCCATTTACGCCAACTCTATGATAACGATTGTTGGAAGAGATTAAACCTACAAACCTAGGGGTTGTCCCCAAAAATTCCACAAAACCTGGGACCCCGTGATTATCTACTGAACCCACATTTATTTTCTCGTATTACCTATTGGCTTAGTTTGTGGCGTTTCTCTGTTGGGTTCTTACTCTTAGTTATTACTACTTACTGGAGAACTGCTGAGTTTATACTAAACTGAATTGCACAATGTAAAAGATAAAAAAAAACAAAAAAAAAAAAACTTTTCTTTATAGGGTTAAGATGCTTTGCTTATGTATCTTGATTTTTTTCACCCCTAGGGTTTAGTTTCTCTTCTTGTAGGTTTGAACATTTGATACAAACTTTTTAATAAAAATGATCAGATTAACACAAAAACACACTTGTTTGCAAATAACAGATTATCTCTTGCCCACTCAAACCAGAATGATCTTTAAAGAGGCTCAGCACAACAGTATATCATGTTACAGTTAAATCATTTGCAACGTCTGTGGCTGTGCAGAGAAGGCTAGAACCAAGAGGTACATGATGAACGCAATGAGCACCTATACCCATTGACACTCACCATCCTCTTGAAGGTCACAATCCTTAGCAAGATGGCCAGACTCTCCACAACGATAACAAATGTCTGGAAGAGATGAAGAAATAAATTGGAACCCTAAATTGGAGGAGAAGAAAAAAGTATATTAATAAAACAGCAAAAGCATTAACAGTTAATTTGGGGGAGGGGAATAAAAGCAGGGAAGGGAGAGCCAAAGCAAAGCCTTCCATCACTGACAAGTGTTACCTCTTGATGAGTTAAATCCACCACGTCCTCTGCCTCTACCACCTCGGCCACGTCCGCCACCTGTAGGGCACTCCCTAGCCCAGTGACCAGAACGACCACACTTGAAGCACTCGTTACTGCTCATGTTTTTAGATTTGGTTCTGGAAAAGAAAAAAAAAAAAATTAAATTATGCAGACAAATTCTGACAAATTACTTTTTTAGCAACACAGATTTCTGGTCTACCATGTAACATTATATGTAAACTATCTCTGGTTAAAATACTTTGTATTTACTGTCCTGGAACAAAAACTAGACAGCAAGAGTGATGTCAAAACTGATGTGTATGCTGGCTCCTGACCAGTAACCTGGAAATAACTGAAGCCACTTGATCAACATGAGGGTAAGGAAACTTGTAACTGCTCCTTCTGAAAATGCTAATGTCAGCCTCCATATTTTCTCACCAGAGGTTTCCTTGAAGATCTGATTTTTATTGTTTTACCACACAGAGAACTTAAGTACTGGGCACTGCTTCATCAATTAGAGAGGTTCCTCTGTAGTGCAACATGCCAGATGTCTGTTCAATCTCTCCCCTGGGAAAAGCCCTAGTATCTATAATGACTAGTATACAGTTACTTATTTGAAACTCACTTTATTATACAACAGCCTTTGTTGCAGCAACCTACGGGGGAAAAAAAAAAAAAAAAAAAAAAAAAAAAAAGCATATTAACAGCAACATGTACCAAACATTTGCTGATGGCGAATCATTCACTGCATTAAAAAAAAAACAAAAAAAAAAAAAACACCACATTGACTAGAGGGATTCGACTGCAGTAAATGTTTGGAGAATGTCACACTCACTCTGGGAGTTATGTAGGAGGGTACTTGCTAACTGTACTGCAGTTTGACCATCAGCAATCCAGGCCAAAATTTCTTGTTTATTTTGTGTGTATTTGCGCATACACAAAAAAAAAATAAAAAGTTTAGTTCTCAGCATGAATTGTTAACCTTTTAAAATTTTACACATGTATACTTGTGTTTGTGCAAAAAACAGACCAGCAAATCAGATTTTGTACTTTTTTTTTTTTTACTCTCCTATACGTAGCGCCTATTTACATGCCTGTGTGTACAGGCACATTGAAAACAATGGGCTACATTTAGAACGAAAAAAAAAAAAAAAAGTTAAACATATACTTTCCTAACATGTTTGACATATAATTAAAAACATTAGCGATAAATTCCAATAGCCACTGCAAAGTTCGGGTCTATTAAAAAATAAAATTAAAATCTATTCTAAATATAATCAAATATTAGTTTCTAATGTTGCTCAAGCACATGATCTCCTACACCAGACACTACTGGTTTAAAAAGGAACATATAGTGGTTTTTAAATATTTATTATAGTCATGACAATCAAAAATGGAATACATCTTTCAGGCAAATATGCAATGGTGCAAATTAATATACTGTAACCTTTTTGAGCCAGCAGATGGAGCTTTGAACCTTCCTTTTACACAAATATTGGTATTACTGTGCAGTTAAAGCATAACTTTCCATTTGCAACATAAAATCTATCCCAGCCTCACTCACCCATACTTGCCACCCGCAAGATATCAGACTTCATACAGTCAACTCATTCATGCAGTTTCAGGCAGTGCATGAAGACTGTGGCTTTCTGACTCAGCCTTTGACATAACACCCAGTAGGCATGGCCATAAAAGAACAGTGGATTCTCTAGTTGCATTTGCCCCAACCCCAATGTAAAATAGGTCACCAAAAAGGGTCAAGATTAATACATGTACACACTCCCAATCTCAGCATTGCTGTGCATATGCCGCTTTCAAATCATAACGCATGTTCGTCCCTGACATGCTGGGGGCGGGCACCCAGCATGTTGAGAGTATTTTGGCCAGAGTTCATGGGTGACAAGATCCCCAGGTATGGCATCTCCATTAAGCAATCATTCTGAAAACTCCAGCACTAAACAGAAAATCTTATATAGTTCTTTGCTCACGATGGGAAGGGGAGGCATGTTTTGTCCATTACCGTCTGTACTGTGCTAGAGGATTTCATTTTTAGTTGAAAACTAGATTTCAATGCTGTCCAGGAAATTCATAAAAAGCATCCAAGATACTCTTTAGAGTATTGTGGTGCTTCCGCATGACAAATGTGAGTGTGTGCCCCCAATTGTTGCACCTTTTAGAAACAGGTATATAAATTTGAAGGAAGTATCAACATTTGCGAGCGTCCTCTCCGGCACCACAGCGTTCACACAGAAATCCGTGGCCAAAAGGGTTTTGTAGTTGGGTGGGGATTCAGACACTAGTTCCAAAACAAGTCTGCTCCCCTTGTGACTGACAAGCAGATCCATAGTCAACAGAGCCTGCCAGGGGGTATAGAAGCAGCTCACTTCCTGCTGTCAATCATAAGGAAAGAATGGACCTAACAGGGAACTAGTCCATCAGCTTCACCAGTGGTCTCCAAACTTTTAAAACAAAGGGCCAGTTTACGGTCCTTCAGACTTTGAGGGGCCGCACTGTGGCCAGTGGAAATAAGTAAAAATACTCTGGTGTCCGCGGGCGGAACAGAGCCCCACCCTCTGGTGTCCGCGGGCGGAACAGAGCCCCACCCTCTGGTGTCCGCGGGCGGAACAGAGCAGGTGTCCGCCCCCCACCCTCTGGTGTCCGCGGGCGGAACAGAGCCCCACCCTCTGGTGTCCGCGGGCGGAACAGAGCCCCACCCTCTGGTGTCCGCGGGCGGAACAGAGCCCCACCCTCTGGTGTCCGCGGGCGGAACAGAGCCCCACCCTCTGGTGTCCGCGGGCGCGAACGGAACAGAGCCCCACGGGCCAGATAAAAGCAAGGAAAGGGCCACAGTTTTGGAGACCACTGAGCTTCACCATCAGGCTGTCTGCATCATTGATTGCTATTGATTGCCTGTCAGTTGCGAGGTAAACTGTGTGCCCAACAACCAGTGACAGGTGGAAAGGGCAGAGAGTAGCAGAGGCAAACTTGCCACCCTGCTACACAGCAGAGACAGGCACTCTCCCTGTCTTTGTACACAAACCTGTAGTTTGACTTCACTACCTCCAGTTATCTAATAACTGGAAGCAATTTATGTTAATTTAGTGCAGCTGTCACACACAAAGAAAAAGATTTAGGTATACTGCACAAATGAAAACAGTGGGGGTTTACTCAAATTGGACCACCAAAAGTGGATTTGCAGGGAGACGGCAGCAGCAATATCTGTGCAAACACCCATCACTCACAACTTGACATGCAGAACATGTCCCCACTTTCCACATATATGAAAAAGCAACACGGAAACAATGAATAGTGTTTTCTGTATGGAAAAGATGCAGGTTTTCTGCAATTATACTGAGTCTTTGTTTCGTTACCTGCTTAAAGTGGTTCTTTTTTGTGCACGCTCTCAGCACAAGTCTGTTTTCTTGGGTACACATATAGGTGGCCTCTTGACGTTCGGGCCCACATATGTGTGCAGCCGATGGCAATGAGTGAAGGTAAACCAATGTCCGGTCTTTACAACCACTATAACACAACAGGCGGCACAACAAATGGTTGTGAATGGCTGCTCACAATGTAGTGTCTTATGACAGACCAAATCCCTGAACACGTGCTCTCACACAGACTTGTACACTGCCGAGAGCACTGGGCCTTACTCTGCCGTCTGCTGCATTGCACAGCTATATTTAGACAACTGGTGTAAGATGAATGTTGAGGCAAGACCAGGGAAAAGCATGCTTCTTCCAGCTAGGAATGACTACAGGTGGCTAAAGAGTGACAAGTTAATAATTTTTAAATAAACATGAATGACACTGCAACACCTAAGGTTCATCAGTATAATGGCTTGGCACACTGGGGAATTGCAGGAGATGGGTGGAGATGTCAGCCAGTCAGATGCAATCACCGTTTTTGGTATTCAGACAGCTCCAAATTACAACAGCCAGCAGGAGAAATTTCTTGATCCACACACACCTGAGCTTTTTTTTCAGCTTGAAGCTCAACAGGGAAAATCCTATTAATTTCAATGACCCCTGTTCACATTTGAGCATTTTGTCACCTGTAGCAAAATGCCTGTTGCTCACAAAAGTACATACTGTACTTTTTAGGCAGATTTTAGCTTTTTTGCCTCCATAGACCTAAATGTAAAACTGCTTGAACAGCAAAAAAGTGTTTTTCAGCATTTTCAACTCAAACAGCAGCCCCCCTCCCCTTTTGTAGCACCACTCCACACCTTATGAACACAAATATTGTAATCAAAATGGAGGAGAGTGCTTCTGGAAGCAGATTCATTAATTGCTCTCATTCGTGGCCACCCGTGCATCAATGGTCCCAGGGATCCCCATTGTAAGAGATGCCACCAGAGCCTGGGAGGAAGACGAAACTTGCTGCCCCAGTGGAACAGCTACACCGCTCCCCAGATCCAGGAGAAAGATACAGAACTTGTGTACAGCAGCCAAGTGCTTGATTCTGGTCTTCCATGCCTAGGACACATCTACACAAGTTTCTATTGACTACAGCAAAACACCTAAATATACGCCTGAAAAAACAGCTATATCTCCAAATCTGAAAAAAAAAAAAACCACGGTCAAAAACGCTTGAAAACGCTCAGCTCAATGGGACTGTAGCCTTAAATCAACAGGAATGGTTTGTGAAATCTAACCATGTACAGCAAGCTTAATCATTGTTGGTAGCAGAGCAGGTGGGCTTTAAAGTGGTTATAGATTTAAAATAAATAAAAATTATATATCTGCTTGGGTGTCAAGTACTCTAGGTAACCACATCTCAAAATTTCTGCTTTACAATGTCTAATCGGCACCCAGAAATACATCATCCACCACTGAAAATGACACCCAGGTGCCATTTTGGATTACCTCCAGCCGTACATAAGTTCCACCCAGGAATAAGAAGTGCTAGAAGCCACAACTAATCCTGACAGCCAAGACCACCATCCCCATGAAGGAGCTCCATTTACTTAAACATGGCTGCTGCACGCCAGGCGCACTGCCATCTTGCACACCCCCACACAAGGGCTGCCAAAAATCTCCAGTCTGGAAATGGAGAGGGAATTGGATGTTGATCCAGGGATAGATCAGGAAAGCTCCCAAGTAAGGGGGGAACCAATGT